AGGACGCCAACTATGGCGAAAAGACACGTTGCGAGCTACCAGGTTCACATTAACATAGCGCAAAGAGAAAATCATAACGTAAAAGTAGACACCAGTGGATTTTCTAGTGGCAACCATTAATGAACACAGCCCACTTTCTGAGGAGCACAGGGACACAAAGTAGAACGAATAAAACCATTGGTGGAAGATAGAAAAAGGGTGTGAATAATTCAATCATAGATGTCGGCGTCCTCACTGGAAGTCTGGGATATAGCGGCGCTGTAAATGAAAATATAGGCAGGAACGCAAAGAGAAGATTCAGGAGGGAGGGATACATAATTTCAGATCTCCCAGTTTTGGGAGAAAGGTTTGGATGGAAGGTTGATTATTAATTGCCGCAACTTTCATGACAGACAAAGGAAACATAGAAGATAGGGGGGGACTCTTAATATCATAGCATAATAAAAACATGAAGAAACGGATATCCACCCAGATATGGGATAAATGGGGACAGCAGGTCACGAGTAACGGCTGGATGCGGACGGCCAAAGCTGGGGGACTGAATGTAGCAACGGAGGGGGCGGTCGCATCAAGACTTCGAGGCAAGTATAGACATGGCTTCGTACGGCGTAGAAGTGCAAGAAAGTTAGAAAACTAGCCAAAAGATCCCTAATGAGTCTCAAGACGCTGGAAAAACAGTGCAGAAAAGTTTTGAAAAAGAGGCAGAAAATTTCGCCTCTTGGTGTGATAAAACGGGAGTGGTTTGGGTGTCACTTCACACTAGTCCGTCGTATAGAGACAAAGCGCTGACGATAGTTTCATCTCTCTTACTGCCTTCTTTGAATTCGGCAAGATCTAAACTGCCATTCTCATCTTTGTCCATCATTCGGAAAATCTTTCGAACGCGTTTCTCGGGTGTATCTTCATCTTCTGGCAGTTTAACCATCGAACCGACCTGCCATTGGAACCAGCTGCCAGTTAGGATATTGAACCAGGACAATGCTGTGAAAGGCAAGACAAGACAATGGACGACCCACCATTTTATATATAGCCTCCACAATGGCCAGCATTTCTTCATAGGTTATTTTCCCATCTCCGTCTATATCGTATAGCTGGAAAGCCCAGTCCAATTTATCTTCCATTCTCCCTCTCGAAGTGATAGACAAGGCGCAGATAAACTCTTTGAAATCAATCATGCCACTGTCGTCGGAATCGAAAACTCTGAAGACATAATTCGCGAAGGATGATGGGTCACCGAAGGGAAAGAATTGACGGTAGATTTTTTGAAACTCCTCCTTTGTGAGGGTTCCGGATGGGCAGTCTTTTAGGAAACCTGTATATATAAAGGTATCGCACATGTGTCAGCGGAAACGCGTATGGAGCATGGCCCCTTATTCCCCTCGTGCGTCTAAAAGTCACCCCCAAAAAAGCAGCGGAAAATATTAAAATACCCTTGTACCATTGCTGCAATTCCTTTCTATCAAAATGGGTCGCTTTCTGCAGCTCATCCAACTGTGAAGGGGAAAGTTTCGATTGTCTACAGTAGGCAAAACACAGAATGTCAGCTTTTTCTTTCCCTTTTTTTTTTTAATCCGGCCCACTTCTGGCGATGTGTAATTCAATTGACGGCCTGCAAACGTCTTCAAACACCCGCCCGACACCAATGACAGGTATGCAGGCCGCGATGTTAAACAAGAACACCGTCTGAATAGCAGACTTGCATAGAAAGACGTAGTTAAGACTGTTTTAAAGGGGCAGAGGGGAAAGGAATTGGATATCAGATGGGCCTCTGGTTGGGGATGTGTGTCTGCATCAAGCCGGGAATGGCAAGCTGGGGTGGTAAAATGTCAAATGCACAACAGACCAAGCTGAAACGTGGGGAGGAGGAGGGGCGCTCACGATTTCCCCATGTCTGCAGTTATTGAAAGCAACGACGACTCAACACAGCTGCCCGACGTTATCTAAAATCTTGTGCATGGAAACACGCCAGATACAACGAGGTGCAATTGCGCAATGTTGCAGGATAGTCGGGCGGGGTAGATGGATGACAGCAGCCGCAGCCAGCGATTGAAGCAAGATGGCGGGCAATCCAATAGCAAGATCGGTGGTGGTCAGTTCAGGTTTAGGATAGCTAGCCAACTGGAATAGCGGACGCAAAATTATTTGAAAGACAACTGTTGGTCTTGAGATGGGGATATCGTAGCGGGGAGAGGACGTTGAAATCGGGTTGACGATCACAGACAGAACCAGGCGGGGGACCGTGAACTGAACCTTGGGTTGGGCGAGGCTGCTGAGTCATTGCTGACTGATTGTCTCCAAGAAGGGAAAGGGCCGAGACAGTTGGGACAATTCCAAGGCACATGGGGCTAGAGATCCTGGACAACAGTTACCGTTTGTATATACGGGGCAGCAAGTGGTCAATAAGCCCACCCGACCTGGGACAAGCTTGTTATCCCGTCAGTTAGGGCTGACTGACCGACCCGCCCCGGGGGGGGAGAGAGTGTTTAACCTGAAGCGGACAGACTTGTGAGGGCTAGGGCTGGAATGTTGTTTTTGGGACAAGACGCTAACTAACGCTAACTAAATAAACTCTTTGTGGTGGAAACTGTTTTGACTGACCTCACCTCATCATCATCGTCTTTACTTGGTCGTCAACTAGTTACTCTGCAACGGTGCGGCGTGTGTTCCCAAGCCTGGTTATGGGGTCTGGCTTCCCCATGTGTCGAGCCTTGCTTTCCACGACTTGTCTCTTCACCCCCCAGACATAGCTATTAATATGTCTGTCCAGTGGGGCGCAACGAAGGGCCGGGAGATTATTATCGTTGTTTGGCGGGCAGCCAATGACACCCCAACCTCTGGGCCCCACTCACAGACAACTAATATTAATTACGGAGCATCCATTCCATACCTCAAGATCACAGAAGCGACTTTTGATTTTGTTCCTCAAGTCTTCTCTACCATGATTACTTGGGTCACCCACATTGGTGGGGGGGCACAGTTGAGATTTATTACGCTGAGGCTCTAATATGAATTTTCTTTGCTGTCCTGTTGCATCAGTCGAATGAGCTGTTTTGAGGTTCTCGAGATCCGACCGGGGCGCCGGGCCGATAGGAAGGAGGATCTCAAGGTTTAAGTTCTCCCGTGTGTGATGTTGGTCGATATCCGGTTCTCTTTAAAAGGTAGAGAACTGCGATTGTCTGCGGATATGGAGTAAACAATACATAACATGGGCGGGCCTGTTCAACATGGTCTCCCCGACGTTTGTCAAAATAGCGAGTTCCGCTGTTCAAGTCGGCCTATTGGTGAAATCATCGTAAGGGGGATCCCCATAATAGGCGTGACTGCGGATGAGTTGGGCGAGGAGTTTGGGGTAGTATGTGAGATGTGATTTGGCCACGTAAAATCCGGCATGAAGCAACGGACTATGGACAAAAATCCCATTCATAAGCCACACGTGAATTAGATGTGTATAGCAAAAGTGCAAGAGACCTAGACGAGGCAATAAAACTGCGTGAACTACTAACTAAAGAAGACGATGGTGCCAAGCAGAGGTCGAAAAAAAGTCTTACCATGGATCGATCAGCGGAAGATGAAATGGATATTATTTAGTTAAATACCGACTCCACACATCTAATTAACGGCTAACAACAACTAATAGGTACTGATCCAATCGCAATTCGGTTGATTTCTGGAATCATTCCGTATAGCTACCTGAAGATAGTCAGAGGAACATCTGGATTCCCTCAAACACTCCGGCGAGAGGGAGTGGCTCTCAGCCGAACATGCTCTCCATACCCTGACAGAACGCATCCATCAAGAGTGGAATGCACGCCAGGTGGCCAGTCTCCTCCTCTTGGATGTATCTGGAGCATACGATCACGTTTCACATACCATGTTGCTGTAATCTCAGAAAGCGCGCCATTGACCTGAGGACGGTAGGGTGGATTGAGAGTTTCTTCTTCTTACAGGTCAGAACAACGTCAATCAAACTCTGGGAGTACACACATCCCCACCCGTTGAAGGAAAATACTGGAGTCCCGCAAGGACTGTCTTTCACTCATGCACCGCAACGCAGCAAACCCTTGAGAACGTAATTATTGAACCCAAGGAACAATGTACGCTACCTTTGCGAGGATTCAGTACATCCCCGAAACGGATGGCGCCAAACGGCAAGATCAACGACGGCTCAACCAGCCAGCCATCGTGGCGCAGGTTCTTCCACGTTGCTGCTGTGCTTCTCTGCTCAAAATACCCGTTTCTGAGTTCTGTAGAGCAAGGAGTGAAATCTTCGCTATTTGATAACCATTTACATCGCATGGGGAAAAGCTAGGAATTAGGACAATATGCCAAATACTCATCTATCATGTCACTGGAACGGAATTGGGATCGCTATTGATACATTTATCTAGAGCACCAACGAGGGCCTGGCGTTTGTAGACATGCCGCTTCCGGCTCTGGCGGTCTCATCATTCTATGGCCGCAACCAATCTCCATCAGTTCTCTTCTCGAGGGTATTTCCATGGATTAAAATCTCCAAACTTATCCGCAACCAAGCCAGCGCTTCCGGGATTCGCGTACCCGGCTGCACGCTGGCGTCTATAACTCTCGATTCGTAGTCGATTAGCCTCACCCTGGGTGAGTGCTAGGTAAATTTCAACACCAACTGCATGCAAAATCAGGGCCAGCATAAATGATGTTGATGCGGGTATCTGGAAACAGGCCCCGATCTGTGCTGGGTCAGAATCACTAAAGATATTCGCTCTAACGATTGCAAATGATGTGGTTGCGTTATTGGAGCCGGATGCGCACTGTGGGTAGTCGGCTAAGTAGTCTCCTGCAGCAGCACCGTATTCCCTCCACGTAAAGTCTATCATTTCGCATGGCCATATATTCTGATACGTGCCGATTCTGGAAATGACCACAGATCCTATGACCAGGAGCGGACGTGCGGACAAGATGACACCGGCATAGAACATTGCACGCAGTATCCAGGCGCGATGCTGCTCGAGCTGCAGCCGGTATATGTTATAATATGCCAGCACCATGCTAATCATTGGCAGTGTAGCTAGGCAGAGAACCATGAATTGCATGTCCAGTGCACCGCCAAAAGTATGCTCTACGATCATGAGGGCGCCAATGTTTGAAATGAGGAAAAGCGTCATTGCGATTCGACCATTGATGCGATGGAAACCGGGCCAGTTGCGTCGGATGGCGGGAATAAATTGCAGGACCGAGAGCAGAGCAAACGGGAGGACTGCACCGAGGTGAAGAGATATTCCCAGGCGACCGCGGACCGATTGCCACCAATATTTCTCCCCCGGAACTGTGCGTGAGACACGGATGCCCCCAAGGGTGAAGGATTGAATGGCCTCGGATAGCGCAAAGAGAAAGAAAGGAGTTGCGAATACACAGAATAGAATCGCATTATAGGACTTTGAAAATCCGACAGCATCGCAGATGCGTCGCCAGAATGACATTATGCAACCAAATGGCTAGGCTGGTGAATTGCAGTGATATATAGTTATACGAGCAAGGAACGAATAGCGTCAAGAAGGGTCCTACAAAATATATTGACAATGAACTTGAGGGAGATGAAGAATTCCAAATTGCACCAGATTTCTGGGGAACAAGGAACTCTTTTAAAACACTCTTTTTTCGCTGCCCACGGTGACATCGCTCCGTGTGATGAGATGACAAATTCCCATCATTCGGAATTGCTTGGTGGTTTAATGCCAGGCAGGGCTATCCAGCTTGTGTAGTTGGTATAGAAGTTAAGCTTCCAAAACAGGGAGTTCATTGGGTGGATTATCAGCCCGGGCATGTCAAGTGTCCGTCTTTAGGCACCAGCGAAACTAAGAGTAGCGAGATTTTTGTCCTCTACGGACCACAGAGCAACCGCGGCAATAGCGGATTCCGGATGGGCTGTTTCGAGCACATCAGGCTGCTGTCAAAAATGGGAATAACTGTACATACTCTGTGCATCACTCATAACGCAAAAGCATTGGCAACCCTCCCTTCCTTTCTAACCATTTCGGCAGAAATAAAATTTCGTAAGGGTTGCCAATACTTAGTGACTGTCCTTGCACACATACAATTGAACCCAAGAAATCAATTTATTCCCTGTCCTCTAACTATAGATTGCAATATCGAGGGTTGCGATTTCTTGTAGGGAAAAATCCTCAGTAAGAGCCCTTTCCTGCAGTTAACCAGGCGGGAAACAAATCCTCTGACTGACCTCAGATCCCGAGGACTTGGAAAAATGATTGGGAGACAAGAATCCAGGCAACGACATTGTTAATACGAGAGATAACTGAAGCGGGAGCAGCTGAATAGAGGTTCTTTTTGTGTGCGTGAAAGGCTGGGTAGTTGTGTGGCCTCGCAATCATTCTCTAGAAGTCCAAACGAGACCTGCATTTCCCAAAAAGCTCGTAGCTTGGCTAGTTACTACGAGTCCGGATCCCCGGATTGCCAGTTTGCGGCTTTACCGCGAGAGCGTTAGCTGGTAACGATCTTTATGGGCGGCGCTGGCTTGAACGGTTCTAAGGGGGAAAACCGATCCTGGGAAATGACCAATTTGGCCGCGGACGCTTAAGTGGGGGGTGTTTTTTTCTTTTGCCTGTTGTCAGATATGTGACAGTTGAGATTCTTTTGAGCCCTCCCTCCCCCCCCCACCGGATAGGGGATGACCAGATATATCAATCAAAACGGAAATATTGAAAAGAAAGAAAATACCGCAGCCTTTGGGTCGGAACATAATCTCCAGGATTTATGTCGAATCCCCAATAAAGACCAGAATTTTCATTATTCGCCCCCATCCTTATGCTCTATCATTCATATCCTGATCCCATACACTGTCCTGATTCTCTAAAACGCTAACAAATCCACCAACGATTGGGATAACTAGCTATCAGGAAGGTCAATGCCCAAATCATCTCGTTTGTTTTCCCTTGATCCAGGCTGCAAACCTGATGCGGTAAATGTTGACACTTTGCTGCCTCACAGCACTTCCAGACTCATCTCATCAACAATAAATATTATGCAGAGTTCTTCATATTATGCGAACTGATCAAGCTGCAATCGCACAGTTGATGTGGCTGTCAGACAATTCAGCCATGGTCAAAAAAATATTTAAAAAGAAAAAGAAAAGAAAAAGAAAACCCACTCATTTCTTGCAACATGTAATGAGAATTTCCATGTGCAAGAGGAACTCTGCGTGCAGTATGTGAAGATGGAGACCAAATAAGCAATTGCTGCTGTTTGTTCACTCTGCGTGAGGACAAAACACAAGCCAGTCTTAATCAACCTTCTTTTCAGCATAATTACCTTCTTGTCTATTTAAAAAACAAAACAATATAAACATATAAAAATAAACAATAGTAGGGTCTGAAATGGGCCAGTTTGCTCTAAAGGAAATATCTACATAATCCTCTGGGAACATTGGGGAAATCTGCGATGTGGCTATGTCACGTGAACCTGCAGCTTCACCGCCTCCAGCTGCCACAAGCAACAAATGTAGCTGTTGAGCCGCTGACTCTCTCCTTGCCAATTGCCCCGTACGGTCACTTTGGACGTTAGCAGCAGCGTATTACATCCCCGGGCCGCCCATCATGGACGCCCAACTACTCACCCCACTCTCCACACTGGAAACCAGACTAAACAACCTCCTCATGGCCATAATCTCCTCCCCAACCGCCGCAGGAGCTCCAGCAGCTGCCTTGGCGCTCCTCGATGCGGACGACAGCCTCTCACGAGCTCTCGAAACACTACACACACATCAGTCCAACTACGCGAAAATCCTACGTCTGCGTGCGGAAGCTCTCTCTCTCGAAGAGCGCGTGCGTAATATCGTCCGTGAAGTCGAGACTGTGGGGAATGAGATATCTGCCGCGTGTCAGCACGGAGCAGATGGAAGCGATGACGACAGTGATGACGACAGCGGAATTGAAGAGGAGGCGGAACAGTATGGTGAAGATTTAGACACGCATATGGGCGGTGTATCGGAACCATCTTCTACTAGTTTGAACAGCAGAGGGAGAAGGAGCAAAGAGGTGGACTACAAACTACTGGTCGAGTTCGCGCGCAGAATTAGTCGGTATAATAGCGATGCAGCAGCGGATGCCAGCGCTGTTCGCTCCACGAGGACACCACCAGGCGACGAGGAGCAGCAACACAAACAGCGAGATAGGTCTAACGTGGAGAATGGAGACGCTGCAGAACGTGCTGCTGTTGGCTTAGGGCCGGACGCGGCACAGCAAACCAAGGGCGTCGGGGTGGCAGCGCTGTCGCAGGAGACAGTATCCTGGCTTGATGAGACAGCGAACTGGTCTCGCGATTTGTCACGTATGCAGTACCCGAGTGAAGACAGGATAAGAATGGGATTGATGGGACAGTTACAGGCGGCCGTGAGCGAAGGACTGGATGTGGAGAAGGAAATTGAGCGTTTGATCCGTATGTCGCGGGACGAGGGCGAGGGTGGCTCCGACGATGGCGCTGCCAGTGAGCATGCAGCGGTGAGGGGCGAAATAGCCGGTATTGTGGGGGAGCCGGGGTCTTTTGCTGGTGGTGGGATTGGTCGTAGGGATGCTGCTATGGGAGGCAGGGCACCGATGAAGGCGAAACCGAAGCCTGTTTTAGATTTGGAGCTATATGACCCTGCTGAAGATGACTGACAGGGTTCGATGATATCTTCTTTTGTTCAATGCATATATATCGGTATGGGCGTGTTTCTTAAGTCGCGCGTCTTTGGGTGATTTGCATATTCGGGGTGGGGGTTTCATTTATGCATTTCTTGAGCCATTTTGTTCCTACTAGCATCCCACATATCCCACTCAGTACCTATCTCCCCAAGTCTCTGCTTCCGTGCTATGCCTCGCGTATAGTAACGAACTCTACTAAAATTCCCTAATCGGTATTTCAAATTATGCTTGCCGGGCTCAGCAAAGGTAATAACCCTGGGTAATGTCATATTCCATTGGTAATAACAGCCTACGAAAACAAAAAATTACGCAAAGAATATCCGGTGCACAAAACAAACACAGGCACGCAAGCAAATGGTAAATTAGGACAACTATCAACAACCAAAACAAACCGCAGCACCAACAAACACCTCATCCAATCACATAAAATGCACGTCTGAATTCGCTGTGAGTTTCCTGAGCCTCTTCCCATAATAGTAAAACACAATACCCCACGCACAGAAAAACGTCGTGAGAGCCATGTTAAGCATGATGGCGGGGATGAAACCGCTGCGCTGGGTCCATGGGGTAATAAATTCGGCCAAGCCGTAACCCCAGAGATTTTTGTTCACAGTTATGGTAACGAAAATGCTGCCAGCAACGGGTTTGTAGCTGTCGACGGCGTATGTGCTTGCTATAGCCGGTAGAGCTGCAACCTGGATGCCTATGGCAGTGTATCCAATGATAACGATAACCTACATTGGGCTCTATTTGTTAATTGAATGCATAAACGGCGAGAGGGAGAGAGGCGGCATCATATATATTAATATACCACAAGATTAATAATTGGGTGGCAAGAAGAAACCTACCTTCCAATTCCATTTATATTCATAACCAAAAGCCACGACAAAATTCCCAACAATCATTATGATAACGTATGGTATCATTGCAGGGAGTCTCATTTCAGGCTCTCGAATGCCTCGGTTCTTCTTCGTAGCGCGCATGGAAACCCAATCCGAGAGTGGCCCGTTCGTTACCAGACCAATGCAGGCACCGACCAAGACAGCACAGTTGAAAAACCCAACCGTCTGGCTGTTGAAATTGTACGGCGGAGCTGCAAAATTTTGACTCTGGGTTACGTTGACCACAAGAAAAACGCTGGCTGACCAGGACACAATAAAAGCGGCTAGGTGAACAATTGGATATAGATGAAGTTTCCACGGGATCCAAAAGTCATACAGCAAGGCTTTGAGGGGGTTTTCAGTTACTCGGAAGGCCCTAAATTGTTGCATGGAAGGTTTTCCTTTTCCAAGATAAGGGTCCTTGTCGGTATCTTCTGTTTCTACGGCATGTTCAAGGGTTGAGGCCGCTTGTGGGGGTGTATCAGCTGAATTGGTTGTTATGTTGACATTCGCCTTTTCAGATGATGTGTTTCGTGCATGAATCTCGTTGTGGTGAAGCCGATGCCACCTTGTTTCCGGGAAAAGAAATATCAATAATACTAGGACAAGGCCTAGAATGCCAACGTTGAGCCACCAGAAGTAGCGCCAGTGAAGGTGATATGCCATTGGTCCTGAAATGACTGGCGAAACCTAGATGCCTTTAGCACTGGCCATGGTCTGCAGATTGAACATGACTTACAACCAAGGCTCCAAAATAGAAGGTGAAATAGAGCGTGTTGTATGCCCCTCGCTCATGAAGGAACATAATGTCCGTGATTATCTGCGGTTGTGCAGTCTACAGTTTGTCAGCTGAAATACTTTCGAAAAGAAACCATTTGCCAGACTCTCACCTCCGCTGGACCAGCCCCAAATCCATTCAGAATGCAAGCTCCCATAAAGCTCCTGTAGGAGGTGGCAACGGCCCTCCAGATAGAAGAGACCAAACACACCAATGTTGACGTAATTAACACCGGTCTTCTGCCAAAACATGTTTGGATAGGGACCCTGTATAAACTTGTCAATAAGAAAGACAAAAACAACTGAACCTATTAAGCCCCATTGAAGGAAATTTTCCCACTTACCAGAAAAAGTTACTAAATCCAAGAACAAGAATACAAACCCCGGTAAACTTGACTGCTCCAGCTAAATCGGTATCAAAGTCTTCCATTAATTGAGGAAACATAGGCGCAACAGCTAGCGGACCGAATGCCTGTGTAAACGACATGGCAGTTGCAAGAGTCATGGTGCACGTTTTCCAAAAAGGGCTCCAATTCTATTCGGTGGTAAATACCCATATTTCACATCGTCGTACGGGGAAAAAAAAGGGAGTAGCCAACGCATATCCCGGGGGTTGGCTCACCAGAGGGTCATTAGGGTCATCCGACGGTTGTGGGACCAAAACTCGATCCGAGCTTTTGGACGACTTCACGAAATGATGAGATCCAACATCTCTCATAATCTCCGTGCCTGGGTAGATTTTCGTGTCCAACTCCTCCTCGATCCTAAATAGCTTACAGTCAGCAATGAATGGCAAACAAAAATCGCACTTTCGGTTTCAGACTAACTGTCGGAGTGTCTGTCCACGGAAATTGATATTAGAGAATTTCCAAATACCAAACCAGCATGTTCAAAATTTTGAGAACTTATAGGAGTCAAGGGGAAAGTATGCAAGAGTAATGCGAGAGTGTTAAAAGGGGCAAATGAGAATATAAACTTACCTCTTCATCATTGCGCATCTCCATGACGGAAAACTATGCGAATATCGCCCACTATGGTGTATTGGGTTGCTCGCAAGGGTATAGTATCCCACGAAGTAGGACTGGTATTTCCCCAGGAAGAATGGCGAGATTCGACAAGTTATATAGGAGTTATTGTAAGTCTCACCCCACACGACGTACGTGCACACATATATCTCTTATATGTGCTTCGGCCGAGAGGGGGTACCGAAAGGAGTTAGAGATCTAAGCGGAATGGAATGCGGAATTGGGTATGAATTTGTTTTATGGCTGAGGGAGGCCAATAATCCCCGTCAAACAGTCCTGAGGAGCCATTGCCGATCTTAGAGGCTCCGCAATACCTAGGAATGTACATGCACAATAGCTCTTCCAAGTTCGGCTCTGAACAATAGCTTGACAGCCGTATGCTATCCCTGGCAGTAGAAGCTGGTTTTTCTTGGCGATGGATACGGGGTATGAAGATATTTTCATCAACGCGAGACAAAAGGCGTCACTTCCTGAGGGGAATCCTGCCATGGATTCGCGGTTGATTTAGCCCCTGGGGCACATGAGGGGTTTGGTTTGGACAATCCCCGTCAATAGTGAATCCGAAATATCTAATGTGGAACATGTCTGGACTTCAAGCCACCACGTTCCCATGAACGCGATGGATGATCCGGCAATTTTTTTAACCACGTTGTCAGTGGACCAGTGTTTCAAGGATTTTTTGTACCCCAGACTTTTAAAATTAGTGTAGTTGTTGCTAGCCTGTGTTTCCCCACACTTCATACATTTGGTCGATATAAAAATTGGTTGCATGACGAGATCACATCCGTCGAGCTTCTAGAAAGAGAACAAGCTTGTTCATCCTTAGGGTGCAATTCATGCGGCGAACGATTGTTTGCAAAAGTCCTGCGACACGTAGTATTTTACTATCTCTTTACATTATTGGCGTCTATGGGGAAACATACGATGCCTGTATATATAGGCAGGTGGGAGAACGTGGGGGGGGGGGGGGGCACACATATAAAATCACACATATAATAATGCAGATCCACTAGGACCCAGGTACCCCCATGCGGATGCATGCCGGCCGCTACCTGCATAATAACTCTCTGGACAACATCATTCTCAGACGGGAGCCTTGGGACTGGATCTAGTCGGGCGTTTTGGCCCATCTCCCTCTTCAATACTCTGTCCTAATAACTATATCATCCTCATTAGAATTGATGACGACAGCGCCTGGGCGTTAGCAACTAGTTAGCCGAATCCGGGACGAAAACACGGCAACTGATTGACTAGGTTAACGCTGAATTGCATGGTGACAGTAAAAGAAAACCAGGGCAGAAGATAAGTTATTCCAAGCCCAGATGTTTGTTGGTGTGCGGTCTGAGAAGGTAGTTAACTGTGGTAGTTATCTCCTAGTCGTAATTATGTTAAGTGGTTGTGGAGTTGAACTTCTGGGTCTATGCGGGATTGGAGGACGGGGGTTGAGAGAATCGACCCGTTGGAGGATGAAGATGGAGGATGGAGGATGGAGGAGGCTGAAGACCCCCATGGAAGTCCATTTGCTTGTTCAACTCGCCGGTTAGTTGTTAGTCAGCCAGGGGATCCACCACAACCCCCGTGCCATGCCTAACTGAAGATGTTCATGGATCAACTTCCTATAACAACTTGGTCCTACGTCATCCGGGTGGATATCAGGGGGCCCTCAAATATTCATTCACATGAAGAAGAAGAAGAAGAAGAAGAAGAAGAAGAAGAAGAAGAAGAAGAAGAAGAAGAAGAAGAAGAATGTCGTAGCTTTGCTAACATAACTAGCTAGGAAGTTAGTTTACTACTACGATTCTCATACAAATAACTGCCTCGTCGGACATTCTGTCTGCACTGAGCAGTACAACATACTTTCTTACAGCTGATATCAATCAATGACTTATTCCTCTATGTATTACTGGAGCGGTGGCCCTGCTTCAATCTTTCCTTAACAGAAGCAGCAGCAACAAGGCATCATGACCGTGGGAGACCTTCCCTTGCTCCTGCTCCTGCTGCTGCTGCTGCTGCTCGCTTCTTTATTGTTGTTGTTTTTTCGTCTTCCTTGCCTTTTTGCGCTCATTGGATACTACTATTCTTCTTCTTTTTTGTTATATTCTTTTCCATGTTTTTGTGCCACGGTTCAATTCTGTGGTTTATCTATTGACTGTCCATTCTTACGGGATGCCCGCTTCCAATCCTGGCACCCAGCCCGTCCAGGACCGTGTTCGGTTGCATATGCGCCACAAAACATACCCCAGATTCATCCCGAGATTCAACCCAAGTTTACGCGCCAGGCTACCGTCTTCTGCTGAACACGATGTTCTACACGTATCCTCATTTTCTTCAGTCCCACCGGGTGTGAAAGGGAAAGATGACACTCCACATCATGATAATGAAAAGCCTAAATTATCCCCACCACCGCCGCTGCCACCGCCTCCATCGCCCACATCACCTCCTGCAACAAAATCTCAAAGTTCGGAAAGAATTCTGCTTCTTGAAAGTGACTGCTATGGAAAGCTGGGCTTCGGGTTCCCCCGTTGGAAAAAATGGACAATTCTTAGTGTCGTCTTTTTCGTCCAATTATCCATGAACTTCAATACCAGCATCTATGCCAATGCCATCACCCCTCTTTCCCTCCACTTCTCCATTTCTGAGCAAGCTGTGAGAGTGGGCCAGATGATATTTCTCGTCGCCTATGCGTTTGGGAGCGAGCTGTGGGCTCCATGGAGCGAAGAGCTTGGCCGATACCCCGTCATGCAGCTGAGTTTATCATTAGTGAACATCTGGCAAATCCCTTGTGCTCTTGCGAAAAACTTCCACACTATTGTGGTGGGCCGATTCCTTGGCGGTCTGTCCTCTGCTGGTGGTTCTGTGACACTGGGGATGATTGCGGATATGTGGGAGCCCGATGACCAACAGTTTGCAGTTGCCTTCATTGTTCTCTCCTCCGTTGCGGGATCTGTTATAGCACCAATCGTGGGTGGCTTCATGGAAACTTACCTCGGTTGGCGATGGAACTTTTGGGTTCAACTTATTTTCGGAGGCGTCGCTCAAGCTGCTCACTTTCTATTTGTGCCGGAAACACGGGTTACCATACTTCTGGACAGAGAGGCGAAAAGACGGCGTCAGGCAGGAGAACTACATATATATGGTCCCGGTGAAATCCAGGGTGCGGGAATTACACTGAAGGAAGTTGCGATAATCTGGGCCCGGCCGTTTAGCATGTTTGTGCGTGAGCCTATTGTATTTTGTCTATCAATTCTCAGCGGCTTCAGCGACGCCTTGATTTTTACCTTCCTCGAGTCTTACCAGCCGGTATACGGCCAATGGGGATTCAATACGATACAAATTGGCTTGGCTTTTATTCCGTAAGTATACTCCTCGGTTCATTCGAAAGGAGCCAAACTTTTTTTCATTCATTGTTAACTTGCTGCATAGTATCCTCCTTGGCTACTTCATTGCCTATTTATCATTTCTTCCTGTGATGATAAAGCACCGTAAGATTCAAAGAAAAGATTCCAGCATCCTTGAACCGGAGTCAAGATTGTGGTGGCTCTTATTCAGTATGATTGTGTCCTTGTTATTGTTGTTCATGGCTTTCGACGTATGTATCGTATACTAACATTGGTTTTCTGTACAGCTGCCCCTCTTGAAACTATTGGTTTGTTCGGGTTTGCATGGTCAAGTTTGGGGCCACCTCGCATACACTGGATTGCCCCTATGGTATTCTCTCTTCTAATTGCCGTTGCAAACGTAAGTTGTGATTCTATCCGCAATACAAAAACCACTGCAACTTAGAATCTGATGGGCATCATCATGTAGTATTGCATATACATGGCCACAATCGACTACATGGTCGCGAGCTACGGACCATATTCGGCATCTGCGACGGGTGGTAATGCCTTAGCAAGGGATTTCCTTGCTGGAATTGCGGCAATGTATTCAACGCCATGTACGTTTTCCGTACATATTCCAAATGACCGTTTATAATTCTAGTCTTTTTTCTAATACATTTAACTCTCAACTGTTCTCAGTGTACAAAACAATCGGTACCAAATATCAGCTTGAATGGCCCTCGACAATTATGGGTATTATCTCATTCATGGTTACCATTCCAATCTACATCTTCTACTGGAAGGGCTCCGTCATCAGAGAAAAATCCAAATTTGCGAAAATCCTGGCAAACGACAGGAAGGTGCGCAACATTCGTCGTAAGGGTGAAAAGATGAGGTCAGACGTGGAACAGACGAGTGAGAGCGAAATTGTTCAGACAATGGAGCGGATTTATGGAGTGGACAGTAAAAATGGAATTCTGTAACAGGAGGGTTGCTCTGTGCATATGGGGTATATCACCAAGGAGTTTCTGTGGTATTTTGGAATTCTTGTCTGTGTGACCTTTGCACGTCATTCTCTCCTTTGTTCATTGCATTGCTACGATTGCGATTCGCCTTTTCAAAGCGATTGGAACAGTGGTAAGTGAGGTAGCATTCAATTTTTCGAGAGGTTGTGGGATACGGCAACTAGTTTGTGATTACTTAGAGCATTGTCATCAAGTTGCATATTCTTTTTTGCCGCAGCCATATCTTTTAGGCGTTTGAGAGGTTTGAGCCAGTTGTTCAATTCATTTCTTCTTTTTATAATTTCTCTTTCATCTGCTTTTTTGTTCGGTGCTTGTGTGCCCACCAGTATTTGTTATAAACAGACCCCCGGCTTCAACAAACCCGGGCAACTATAGTTACACCCGCGCTCACACATCACTACAGTTCTACTTGCTCCGGGTCGGATGCAGCAGCATCCTTCGATTTATTTAAACCCGGCGATACAGTTAAAATCAAATGAGAAATTCTATCTCCAGTGATCATATATTTACATGACCCAAGGGTAAAATCATGATTACGTTGACTGCAAATCATATTGACAACTCACCCATTTTAACAGGGGATGGGTTGCCTTTGGTCCGTTTGTGGATAAAGGCACAACCATTAAATTATTTTCCGGACTGGTTTTCGCTGTCAGCTGGCGCGATGGCGGAGTGGTTAACGCGAGAGACTAGAATTTGACCGACAAAGTCTAATCATTACTAATCTCTTCTCTTCGGAGGCGTAGGTTCGAATCCTGCTCGCGTCGTAATGTTTTAAAGTATTGCCTCTTTTTCTTCTTTATTCTTTTGTATCATGTACGTCCCTTAATAAGAAATTTTGCGTATGCACATGAAACTATTTATCTTGGCTTTTAAATATTACTTATTCTGGTTGTAGGAATTAACTCGACGAGCCATGCTCTGCTTGGCAAAAGGGGAAAACCCATCAAATGCATATATCTATCTGCCTCTAAACTGAGCAAATATCTCGCCTCATCTCTTCCTATCCGTCATTACCAGATGCTGAAGGTAAACAGCCGTCCAAGCCATGACAAATGCTTCCTACGTTCCTCAGCAGTGACAGCCTGGGGTCCCCGTTTGCCATATCGCTGAAATTCGTCTGCATTGAATAACGGTGTGAAGAGCTCGCCCTCTGAATATCGCATATCTGAAAGGGATGTGGCGGACTCTGGAAGAGAAGGATTCTGTATGAATATATCACGGCACATTTCGCTCGTTATCAGCGGTGAGGCCGGGGGCGTCCAGGGGCGTTGATTGCTCGTAATTTGGCTGGGTATCTCTGGCTCGTTGTCACCATTGACTCTGGCCATAGGTATATTATTTATCGGGTTCGGAGAAATGTTTTTGATTTGACCCTCCAGCCCACGTACGAGACCCTGGCCGTTACGTGGACGGCGTGGGTGGAATAGGCGGTTGACGACATCCTCGCGCTGGCGGAGTAGGGTTTCTCGAGCAAGGTATGCTTCACTGTAGGCACGGGTACCATACTCACCACCACCGCCACCGTCAGCACCTTCCTTAGCCTCGTTCTCATATCTCTCCCTCTCGATCGCAAGCATATGCGATTTCCATCTGAAACAATCGTCCCAGTGCCGTCTCAAGAGGGCATCATTTGGGCGCATCAACTGCGCCAACCACACGCGGTCTATGGCGGTATTAATTCGAATCTTGCGGAGGACATGGAGGTAGATAGTTTTCCACTGCGGGTCCTTAACGCTGGTGTGCGTGGTCCAGCAAACCGAAGTGAGGCAGCATGGGAACGTGCATTTTGCGCGGATATCGGTTGGGTCGAAGATTGGTGGGCATTCCTGGTTGAGTGGTTCCTCGACTGTGTTGAGCGGGATGTCGCAGAGATCTATGATCATGGGGTCACTGAGGCGCAAATGCGGACAAGTGGGGAGGTCGAAGCCATCAAGGATCTTTGCTATCTGTTCTTTGGACGCACGTTCATCCCTGGGCAAGGTTAGGATATCGTAATGCGTCCACAGTAGATACCTGTATACGTATCTGTCGTCCAGGCTCAACGCTGAACAGCGGGGAGTCTGCACCTTGTAGAGCATGTCTATCGGGCCGCAGGACAGATGCAGATCCGCGAAACTGAAGCATTTACCCGGTTCTATCCAGAGGCCCTTGATGTGTTTGAGGCAAACGCGCTCATTGGAGTGTTTGGCAAGGTCGCGGGGGTGGAAGAAGAGCGGGAGATGGGTGGAGCTGCACGCGCTGCAACATAGTTTGGGGCCGGATTTGAATCCGCAGAGTTCGCGGGCAAGCATAAATTCGTAAACCTTCAGATCATCTATTACAGCCGAGTTTTGAACGACCTGCTGGAATTCCTGGCGCTTGACGGGGTCTGAGAGGTAGGATTGAGGAACGTTTTCGAAGAAGCTGTTATAGAAACGTTTGCAGGTCAAGGAGAAGGTTAATTTGGAACCAGCGGAGAGGAAGGAATGTATGATATGGAGGATTTCTCCGGGTAAGAATTGCAGAGTAGGTTTGTCGGACATTTTTTGGCATCTGGTTTCATCCTAAATATTGTTAACGGCAATATGGTGGAGAAGAGAACGTATTTAAGATGTCTCTAATAACTATAAGTTTCTGGGCCTTGCAGCTAGCGAGCGAGCGAGCAGGAGATGCACGGATCTCAGACGGCCGGGAAGGATGTTTGTTTCTACGACGAGACTTGTTGCTGCTCATCCGTATATCTGTCCTCGAGCTTTCAGAACCTTGGTGCCTGAAAGAAGAAAAGAGCAGTCGAGGCAAACAAGATGTAAACTCGACCCCGCTCTGATCGACTCCCGCCAGATGAAGTTGTTCTCAAATATCTATCTTGCGCAACCGCTAGCTTAAAAGCAGCTAATTAATCATTGTTAAATTCTCGGTGATTCGTTTGCCCACTGAACTAGCTAGCTACTGTTGTAACTAACTAATTAACTGGTTGGTTGGTTTACTAGCTAACCCCGTATTCGGTGACTCTTCGGTAAAGGATCTCGGGGACCTCAGCTATTATTCATCGCTGAGGTGAATGGGGAGCCCCATTATGTGCCCCATTTTATGAATGAACGACTGAAGCATTTTGGGAACCGATTTCGGAGTGGACCTTGTCTGTGACATCTGATTGTCCGTGATCTTCATCGTTGACTGCAAAAGAGAAGAGGTCACTTGATATACGAGAGATGGACTGAAAATGGCCACCCTCAGAACATTTTGAAGTCATTTTGATCAAGTATCCTGTGGGTAACTAGTCATTGACTGTTCCAGGACAGCTTCATCGTTATTCGAGGGTTCATGTTTAACTTCATCGAGTCATGACAGAAGAAGACATGATTGATAGTTGTAAACCACCTTGGGGTGGCTAATGACCTAGCTACCCTGGGTCATCCAAAGGTTCCTCGATAACTTGATAGATAGCCTGACAAACATTCACATGATAGAAGGCATTGATATATTCCAAACATCACTAGTTAGAAGACCATAGAAGAGCAAAATAACCAACAATGCCTATTGGTAGAGAAATAAAATAATCATTGGGTTATGAAGGTGGAGAAATTAAGACAAGACGTAGATTTGCGGATCTGCCCCGCCACCCTGGGGCAGTTAACTCGGCAGTAACTCGCCCGCGTGTAACTAAAATATCCATCTCAGCAAATTATCCCAGTCTTCCTACGGGCTTGGGCACCAAGAGATAATATGGCTACTCTCCAGAAGATGCAGCTATCAATTGCAACTGTTGGTCAGTGATAAATATTGCACAGTCCTGTAATGTTATGCACATACGAATGCACATCGGTTATCTACAGCAAGCTACAAAAATCAGTTTAGCTAAAGTATGACGATATTTTTCACTGCAGGGTTAACTTAGCTAAGTGATGCCCTCGGTCCTGCAGTTGTGGTCCTCAACCTCAACCTCAACCTCAAACCTCAAAATCTTTGTCAAACTTCAGCTTTCCTCTTTTTCTCCATCCTACTCCTCTACTCCCCAAAACCCTCGCAGTCTCCCTGACAAGCTGAAGACCTGTTGAAAAGCTACTCAAGTTAGCCAATTTGCTTTCTGGCCAATTGTTTTTCGGCAAAGCCGTCCGTCTCCCAACTACACGTCACGCCAGCACCAGCTTAGCCATTTAGCCATTCAAACCCAAGGTTCCAAGAAGTCAAGGACACCGCTATCCAGTATATATCGTCTTTACCCCAATCACTTCAGCAATTCGTGTATGCTTTCCAGCTCTCGTTCTGTGCCTCGGTGTCATATGCTTTGAGCTCACCGCTATGTCGCTGAGCTTCGCTGTGAGTTGCTCGTGTTTTTCCCCTTCCGCTACCCCTTCCACACTGCTTGGGTTGCTGGTTTCCTTGCTTGCAAATAGCCGCGTGCCCATGGACATGAACGGCACATACAAACTTTTCTACCTAGGTATTATACCAGATTATAAAATGGAAGTCGTGTCCCTTCCAATATCTCTTCCAATATCTCTTCCGGCAGGCTTCCTTTGGTTCTTTGTGTGTCCTTTTGACTCTAACAATATATGGCATACCTAAACTTCTACGATGAATATAATATGGCTGAAAGGAAGACTAGACTTGCTAATGTTCTCCGTCAACGTGCCACTTTACAGAAAACCCCGTTTACTGTCGATGCTCCCGGCTACGATCCCGTGGATGGAGAAACAATCCCTCGTCGAAATGTGAATTACAAAGATAAATTGCTTGCCCGGCCCGAGGAAGGGATCAATACTGTCTACGACATTGTCAGGCGCGGGGCTGAGAAATTTGGCAATGCAAAATGTATGGGCTCACGGGAGCTTCTGGATGTCCACGTCGAGACCAGAAAGGTTAAGAAGATGGTGAACGGCGAGGAGCGGGATGTGGACAAAGACTGGACATATTTTGAATTGAGCGGCTACACCTTCATGACTTTCAATGAGTACGAGAGATTGACCCTACAAATCGGAGCGGGCCTAAGGAAGCTGGGCCTGGGCAAGGGCGATAGGCTCCACCTCTACGCAGGTACCAGTGATCGTTGGCTTGCTACTGCCCATGGGGCAATCTCACAATCCATGTCCATCGTTACCTCGTACGACACCCTTGGCGAAGAAGGGCTGCGGCATACAATGACAGAAGCCAATTCCAAAGCCTTGTACACAGATCCGCAACTTTTACAATCACTCATCAAACTGTTGGGCGATGCTAAAAGTTTCAAAGTCGTCATTTACAACAATACGCGTCTGCTCAAGCAGGAGACGTTAAACGCCTTGAGAGTTGAACACCCCGGTATAACTCTACTAAGCTTCGAGGAGCTCAGGAAACTTGGAGAAGAAAATCCGGTGGGTCCGGTTCCTCCGGACGCGGATGACACCGGCATGATTATGTATACATCCGGTGCCACGGGGCCCCCAAAGGGTATACCCCTGAAACACAGACATGTGGTTGCTGCAGGTATGGAAGAAAACACAACTTTTTAATTATTGCATCACAATATTTTTTTTTTTCATTTTTTTTTCATGTGCTGATTTGGAGTGCAATAGTTGCTGGGATTGATTCCTTGGTTGGACGCGAAATCAGTCCTAGCGATGTTGTCCTAACATTCCTCCCCTTGGCTCACATTTTTGAATTTGTATTTGAGCATGCAGCGCTATTCTGGGGCTGTCCAATGGGTTACGGAAACCCGAAAACGATTGCAGATACATCGATGCGAAACTGCAAGGGCGACATACGAGAGCTCAGACCAACTTTGATGGTTGGAGTACCCGCTGTGTGGGAAACCGTGAGGAAGGGCGTCATTATGAAAGTTGAACAAGCCGGGTTAATCTCGAAGAACCTTTTCTGGACAGCATTCTACCTTAAGCGCCAGCTTACGAATCGTCAATTGGGAGGGTCTGGGATTCTAAACTCAGTGATCTTCAAAAAGATTATTGATGCAACTGGAGGTAGACTCCGGTTCGTCATGAATGGAGCCGGGCCTATTGCTCATGAAACACAGGAATTCATCTCCCTGGTTATAGCACCTATGGTTATCGGATATGGCCTAACTGAAACGACAGCGTAAGACCCAATTATATAAATATCAAGTGATACCTTGCATTGGCCTAGGAGAGAGAAGAACTAACCGACGAAATCTCGTAGGATGACATCTGTTTCCGATCCGTGGGGTTGGCAGGGCGAAACCTTAGGTGATATCCCCGCTTGCATTGAGATTAAGTTGGTTGATTTCCCGGATGCAGGGTATTTCACCAACTCAACTCCTCCCCAAGGTGAAATTTGGGTTCGCGGGAATAGCGTCATGGAAGGCTACTTGAACAATGAGGCCGGAACGGCTGAAGTCATGACCTCTGATGGCTGGTTTAAAACGGGAGATATTGGGGAGTGGGATCGAAACGGCCATCTTAAGGTAATTGACCGCAAGAAGAGTCTGGTCAAGACTTTGAACGGGGAATATATTCCACTAGAAAAAGTGAGCTGACGCTACACATTTTCCAAACGCGTTCGATACGGTATTCATTAACAGATAACCATAGCTCGAATCGGTATATCGTTCAGTGGGTTTTGTGGCGAACATCTGCGTCTACGCAGCACCAGATAAAGCCAAGCCAATTGCAATCGTGGTTCCTGCCGAGCCCGCGTTGAAGAAGCTAGCTGCCGAAAACGGTATCGTCAAAGGCCAAGGGCTTCATGAGCTGGTGCACGACAAGAAACTGCGACAGGTCGCGCTCCAGAATATGCAAGCTGCTGGGCGGAAGGCCGGTCTCACGGGACTTGAGATTATTGATAGTGTTGTCCTTGTGGATGAGCTTTGGACCCCCCAGAATGTGAGTGCACTTTTTTTTAACTGTTCTTATGTAGACTTGCCCCATGTGTGGGAGATGTATTTTGGTCTGCCTCCTCCTCCCCCCCACCCCCCACCCCCCAAACCAGTTTGTTGGGGCACGCTGATACGCGCGACATTTTAGGGCCTGACGACAGCGACGGAGAAGCTGAATAGGAAAGCGATCCATGAGAAGTATAAGGCGGATATAGAAAGTGCTTATGGGCATTGATAGGAATGTATGTCGAGTCGGGTTCCCGCAGTATTTATTGTACCAGCATAGCTATAGAAGGGTCACTGGCGTTTGGTGGGATTCGTTGCGTGTTTTCATCCGTTTAATGACGTTACAGAATTGTACGCGCAGCTTTCAATCTGGCGGATGTTGTGTGACGGGCGGAGTTTTACTATGAATCGATTTTAGGAGAGATAGGGAAGGATTTTAATTGAGTGTATGAAAATGATATGGTGAAATGATTTAAATAGTCTCTGTGTAGCCAGTTAAAAATATAATTTATAATTGCTCAATGATTCTGTAGGCAATTTGCCCCGATGTTTTGCTATTATTTTTCAGCAGAATGGTTATATTCGTTGGCCTGGGTCAAAGAAATAAATATGAATAACTGTGAAGTGTTTCTTATCATTCTCTCCTCTCTTCATCCATCAACCATGTGTGTACACATATATGCATTGTATTGCAGATGGGGGTTCATA